GTCGATTTTTTTCAATTAAATCAGGTCGTCCGTCTGATTCTTATATAATTGGCGTTGAGAGGTGTTGGGTAAGGATAAAAATGGGATGGTGAGGGGGAAAAAAGCTCTTTCACAATTTAGTCCTTGTTTGTCAATCATTCTCTCACATTCTATCATATTATTTTTTCTACAGTACTCATTTTCAGGCAACACATTTTTCATTAAAATAATATTATACATAAATTAAAAAATTCTTATTTTTTAATCACACATTTCAACATCAATCACTATTCCATACTCCAATTCTTGAAATTAAAGGCCACAAACAGGGCCTTATTTTTATAAGGATAATTTAAAACTATTCAGTAAATCGGAATAAACGGAAGGTTCAAACTCCATAAACAGCAGCAGCCTTAAAAGCCTCTAATGATTTATCAGAATTGATAACAATAACGATAACAATCAAAAGGTCCTGATTACGTCAGGCATCTAATAATAAGAAGAGGCAGCGAGCTTAGAATTTTACTCTCCACCACGTATCGTTCAATGTGTCAATGGAAATTCTACTTTTTTGAGATCAATCTCGACCATACATTTTTGCGGCCCACTTGCACATGGATCTACGTCACGTCTGTCTTCCAACAAAAGAAATAGACATATGCAAGTTTGTGAGCTTTTCCATGCCCCGTTTGAATCTCATTACATTATGGATCTATTCGATAATGATTATAAGAATTAATTTTTTGATTATTGAAGAAAAAAGTAAATCTCATCTGTGAATAAAAAAAATAAAAAATGATGACTAAAATAATTAAATAACGATCAAAAAATTAATTTTTTAAATGACAAATTTCTATCAAATAGGAGCTAAATTCCATTACATTCCATTTTTTCTCATATTTTCAATCACATAATTTTTCATAAAATAATATTTTAAGTAAATCTAAATTTTTTTTCTTTTTTAGCCACCCATTATTTAAAAAAAATATATTATTCCACCTATTTTATTTTCAAAAAATGAGGACCGAGGCTAAATAACTAAATTTCATTTTTAAAAAATTCTAAAAGTAACCAAATATTCAAGTCTTAGTTAAATTATCAAGTTATCTTTATAGAGTCGCATTTCTCTTAAAATATCATAGATTCGACTAAAATTTTGAATTGGAATAGTTTTTTTTAAAAAAAATATGTGATTAAAAAAGAATAATTTTTTTTTTGCATATAATATTATTTTATGAAAGATTGTATGATTGAAAATAAGAAAGAGAAAAAAATGAGAATGAGAATGTGGTCCAATCGCAATGCACATATACATACTCACGCACCATTGTGATAATCTTTTGCTCAACATCAGTGGTCGTATAAAAAGTCAACTAATAAATTAATCACACAAATTAGTGTATTACTGTTCAGTGATTTGAAGTTTGAGAAGTTGTTCCATCCTTTTTCAACAACAAAACGTGTTGCACGGTCGACATTTGAGTCACGGTCTATTTCCTATTTCCGCATCTAGAATTGAATTTTTGGAAATTTTCAGCTAGGCCTCCAAACTTTCAAAAATACAATACTTAGGTCCCGATTTAATTTTTTTGAAACACATAAATCCCAACTTTTTTGAAATAGACACTTGGTCCCATTTTAACTATATTTATGAATTCAAGTCAAATCGGCATGCTGTCCATTTTACTGTTCATTCAATTAATTCTTGACATATTATCAATAATTAAGATGCTATCTTAAATTTTTCCTCATCTATATGATGCATCAATAATTAATTGGATGGACAACAGATCTCAAGTATATATATAATGAGTTAAAAAAATCCCAACCTTATTCAAAAATAAGATAATCATCAGAACTGGTGTTTTCTAAGTACGGCTTATGAATAACTTCAAATATTTAGCACGCACTTGTTTCACCAATAAACCTATTTGTTTGGAGCTTGGAATAATTAAGTCAATAATTACGAGGGTGTTTGTGAGATATTTTTATGTAAAAATGCATTTTTGAGTAAATTGATGAAAAATGTGTGGTTGAAAATTAAAAAAAAAAGTTTTTGATTTACGTGTAATATTATTTTAATAAAGAATATATGGTTGAAAAGAAGAGAGTGAAAAATGTATTTTAAAAAAATGGGTACCAAACGAGGCCTATATCTTGTCTAATTCACTTGAGGACCAAAATGAGATCCTCAATTAAAACCAATTGGATCAACCGAGGACCAAAAGGTGATCAAATTTTCAATTTTTACTGTGGCAAGATCAGTTGGATGAGCAAAGGATAATAAATCTGGCTTCGCTGATGTTTTTTCTTTATAAGAAATTCTAGTTTTTTGGTCGGTTCCATTATTTTCTTTCCACTTAGAATAATTTAACCTTTTATTTTAAACTTAGGGGCTGGCTCCCGCCTCCTGTATTCTTCATTCCCAAACCCCTCTACCATTTCTCTCCCATGTCATTCTTTATAAACATGCAAAACAAAATTATATTCCAAGAAAACGCACGAGTAACATAGCTATTTCTCATTAAGAACATGCAAAGCAGATTCATAACAATAAGCACAAGAGTAGCAAATTGTTGACAGAATCCTATTACGAAAACACACAAAGGTAACTCGTTGCTAGTCTTTTATAAAACAGACCCAAATATTTCATTACATAATATGAACACACGAGCAACATATTGCTTTTAGTAAAAATCTGATGAAGATTGGTTCACTGTGCGAGATTCTGTGTTCACTACAGATGATTAAGATTATGGAATGATAAAGTGGGCACTAATTTTGGCATAAAAATCAAGAATCGGGATGGGACGTTATGAGTAGGTTTAACTAAACTAGGATAAACATCATTAATTTTTTTGTTAAAATGTAGTAATTATTATTATTATGTGTAAATAAGGGACTAATTTTCCCACTATTTGCCTTAATTATCCCGAAAAGAGAATCTTCTAAATTGCTTTCTTATCTCGAGGTCAAGAAACAATAAATGGTGTAAGGCCCACGTGAGTAAGGTAGGTCCCAATGTCAATTGGACTGTCAACTTGGATCTTTGTCCTCTTCGATTTTTTTTTTTTGAGAGTTAATTTTCCCTAATTGTTAAGTTCCAAATCTATTTGATCTCCCCTCAACAGAACTAACCTCTTTCCCAATATATTATCTGCATACTTAGACATTGAATGTGAATATAGCTCCGATATGAATACTTTGATACTCAAGAAAGACGGTAACATTTTGATAAAGATATTTGGTTGTGGATGAGACGTAGACAGAATATTTGGTGCTGTTTTGAAAGAATCATGGGATAGCAATTCAAGAATTGATTTTCACATTATCTTTGAATAATATTAAGTGTGAGTATATATAGATATGAGAAATTCCTTGGATATTTGACATGTGATTTCATATTAAAAGTACATATATCAAATTCAATCATGTCAATTGTGTCAATGCATAGCCATCATGGACATGTGACCATCCTAGTCGAACATAAACTCAAAAGTTATCTAACGAACGGAACTACTACACAATTATTGTATCAATCGGTAAATCAAGTGTATTGTGAATTGGCCAAGTCAAGACTTATGACTGTGGCCCTTCTACGATGTCATTCGCCTTGAATTATACTGTAGCACAAAGGTGGCACCTAGCCTTGGATAATAGCACTTAGGGCTAAGCGTATAAAAGCATGCTCTAATCGCCTTTGTTGGGCACATGTGGAAGAGATGATGTTGACGCAAAGTAGACCTTGCTTGACTTATTGTTTAACTAATTGTCATGTGACGTGTTTCGTAGGGCGAGAAGAAATGGTAATTAAGATATGAGAAATTGAATTCGAATTTATGAACACAATAGATAGGTAATCAAATTATTATCATAATGTCATTGCACAAATCTGACGAGAAGTACTTGACCATTCCATAGACATTGACCGTTTTCATAAATAACAGAAACACTCCCTTGACAAAAAAAAGGTATATTGTATTTTTTTTTTTAATTTTACTCTTTCGTTTTTTCTGTCATTTGAAGCAATCTTTCTTTAATTATTTCTCACTTTTGATTTAGATTAAAAAAATATTAATTTTGTTTAAAGAATTCATTTTTCGCCTTTTGCACACAATGATTTCATAAAAAATGACTTCGCTTTTTTAAAAATGAACGAATGAGATCCAATTTTTTTTGTCTAGAAAGGAAATAAACTAGAAATATTTCAAGTCATTTTGTTATTTTTTAGATTGTAAGTCATTTGTTATTACCAGTTTATTTAATTATTAACAAAAATTCATTTGATTACTTATAATGTAACAAGTTAAACTGTATAGATTTTCATAAAATAAATTATATATTTAATTGTGCTGAAATATAGTTAAAAATATATATAAAGACAATATTTTAAACCTAGGAATTTTTTTTTGAAGAATAAGGAAAAAAAATTAGGTTTGAATTATTTCATCAAAAAATCTAAAATGTTAATATTCGTTTTTTTTTTTTTTCAAGTTTAGATTTTCAAAATGTCATGTCCCCTGCACCTTGAATGCATTTTCTTTGGTAAAACTTAATACACACATATGAAACTTGAATTAAATATTTGTGCATACTCCTATACATGTTAAATCATGCTATTTAACAATTTCAACTATTAGAGAAGACCATACTATTTATTTAAGTTTAATGTACTTTTATATAATTTTCTGAACAATAACAAAAGCGAATTTCTTAATTTTTTGTTATTTTCTCATGAAAATTCAAGAAAACTAAAAATTTCATCGTCCGAATTGTTATATATTTTTTTGATCGAAATATATTGTGCATCTCCTTACTTGTCAAAAAAATTGGTAATAAAATTTTAAGAGAGGTCACATGCTAAGTGAAATTCAATTGCATGCCCCTATCATGAAGCCTTATACGACATTTTCATTAAGAAAGATTGAATATTAGGAAAGGCAAAGTTAAAATCTTTCTTATCATTGATCTATGTCGTATATTACTCATTAAACATGCACGCAAATTTCTACTAACATGACTTGAATCGAGTAGAACGCATTAAGAAGTTGACATAAATTTATAAGTTTGGACAATTACACCTTCACCAAGTAAACAAAACAAATAGTACAAATGCTATTACCTTATTTGTTTTTCTGAAAACCTTCTATTTTTTATTTATTTTTAATCCCACTCCTTTAATTTATTTATTTTTGAAATAATAAATAAATTATGAAATTAAACTTATATCGAACTAATAAACTCTGTCACCCCCACTTCTCTTCCACTAATATCCTCTAATGAATGTGTATTTGGCTTAGAAATTTACCGCCACCACGTACCCCGCATCCCCCATCCTTCAGACACCTTCTGCAATTCTGTCCCACTCCCAGAAGCACAGTCCACTTGCCAGATTTTTAACAACTTATCTTCCCCTTTTCTCTCTCTAAATAGCTTACTCAAATGCAGTGCTTGTAACTGAAGATTGCTGCTTGTTTGTAACAATTTTGTACCCACCTCCTCCATCTTCATCTTCATCTTCGTCTTCATCATCATCCCTATCATCTCCATCATCATCATCATCTCGATCGTTATCATGATCATTTTGATCAATGTTTTCGTGTTCATCATCTAATGCTGATTCTTGCTGGTGCTCCGCCCGCAGAGGTAGTGGCCATTGCTGCTCAGGGACTGCCATCAACGGCACGATTGGATTATCAGGCTTTGGTAATGAGTACCCAGAATTGATCGATGAAGATTCATTCTTGGCTTTCTCTTTGTATATTGCATCGAGCTGTTCGAAATATGGGCATGTCTTTGAATCTTCGGGTCTTTTTTTGTTGCTCTCTTTCACTTTCTTGAAGTACTTGTTGATGTTCTCCCATTTCTCTTTGCACCTCTTCGCGTTCCGGTTGTAGCCAATTTTAGCCATGGCAGCCGATATCTCCTCCCATAGTGGCCCCTTCGGCCCGTTATCTTGGTACTTTAGATCAAGATCAGTTCGGAGCTTGATCAGAGCTTGAACTTCAGCTTTAGGCCATCGGGAAGAGCTAGCAAGAGGTAAGTTTTCACTTCTGTAATCGGCTTTGGGAGTTTCGATTCTTACTGGTGTTGCTTCTGCTGTTACTGGAACTGGTGGCGGTGCTGGTGGTTGTTGTGGTGGCGCCACCGGTGGAGATGGACTGTGGGGCACTTGTACAGTTGGAATTTGCAAGTTCTGTTGTCCAGATATTTTCTGCAAAAATGCAATAACTGCTGAATCTTTGGCTGCAGCAATTGATCTTTCTTGGACTAAAAGTTCATGCTCCTTGTTCAATTTCGCCATTTCTTCTGCTCTCCAAGCTTCCTCTCTAGCGATTCGATCTCTTTCACGTTTTTCGAGCGTTTCCAAGAATTTCTTATGCAATTCTTCTTGTTTCTCAATTACATCCTTCATTAGTATCTCGAAATATTCCATCCATTTCCGCTTCCTCTTGTGCCGCCTCTGAATATCCTCATCAGACGAAGTCGAAGAAGAGGTCGAAATTGATATATTTGGACGAGAAGGTGGAAGAGTATGAGTTTGAAGAGGATTTGTGGTGTGCATTGTTGGTGGCTGCAAAGGTGGAAATGAAAAATTTGTCGGAGTATTGATTCTTTGTGGGACAGTGCTTGTAGGGCTAATCTTGGCTGCAATTGGTGGATTTGTAGTACCAAGTGGTGGAGGAGCTAATAGTGGTAGAGGATTATGTTCAAGAGCCTGTAATTGATCAAAAAACTTATAAGTTTTGCCATCTGGTTTTGAAGATCGACCTTCTTTAGTTCTTTTGTGGTACTTGTACACATTCTCAAATTTCTCTTTGCATTTCTTGGGGTTTCTTTGATAGCCAAGCTCCGCCATTTTCCTGATAACAAAATTTCCAAACAAAAACATAGCCCTTTGTGTTCTTAAATTCATCCAAACATATAAAGTAAACGCGAAAAATCAACTAAATCAATCATTCAGATAAAAGTCGAGAGATTAATCCGACCAAATTCTAGCGCATCAACTTGTATTTTTCTGTAGATTTAGCTGAATTATATTGAAAATCTAAAGAAAAAAACTTGGAGATGAAGATGAAAGTTAAAGTTATGAAAAACAATCTATCTAACTTCATTGCTATAATTAGCAACAAAGTGCCAAAACTGAAAGGCCATAACCCGGAATTTTATATTCCTAAAGAACTGCTGATTTTTTGTGAACTGAACTGAAAGAAAACGACCCTACAATCAAAAAAGCAATAATTTGATGGAATTATGATCCAAAAATGCCTTTTACAACAAACTCAGGAAGATTAATTTTGAATTTCGAACTCATATGTAATGAAGTCCAGAAATTAATGTGCTCGGGATCCTCGAGCATTTCTCGGTTGCCTATGAGATCCCTAACACAAACCTCGAACTCGATATTCGTGATGCTCATTTCGCGATCTCTATGTGTGTGTGTTTGGAAGAGGAATTTATTCACAATTATTACCTTGAAACTTCTTCCCATAATGGACCCTTGAGACTTGAGTCCCGAAAAGCAACGTCCATATCAGATCGAATTTTTAAAAGGGCTAGTGTTTCTTGCCTCGGCCACCGGTTTCCACCGCCGCCACCACTCCTATCACCTTCCTCAATTCCCAACTTATCTTCCTCCCCAAAACCGCCGCTTCCAAGCCCGGCTTCACCACTTTCATTACCCTTCACGGAAGCTGCACCGCCGTCTGAATCTCCAAGCATCATGAAGAGGAGTTCCAGTCCCAGTCCTAGTCCCCTCTTCTTGCCAATTACAGCTGCAAAATAAAAATATATCAACAGAAAAAGATGGTGAATTCTGCGGGTTTTATCAAGATTGGGTGGGGTGAATTTATTAATATATTTGTGTGGGGATCTCTCACCGTAAAATAATAAATTAAAAACAGAATATTTTCCCCTTTTTTTGTCAGTTAAAGAATCTTTACCATTTTTTTCCTCTCTGGTAAGAAAAATTTTAAACAACGCTTGAAAGGTCACACTGCAACATTATAAATAGAACGGAGAGATAAAAATCTATAATATTACGTACAAAAACAATTTGTATGATTGTATGTATATGTGTATATGTGTAAGTATAGAAAGAGGGAAAAAAGAGGTGCAGATAGAGGATAGATAATATGATAGTTTTTGTCTGTCCAGCTAAGTATAGTTAAAAGCCGGCCCATGTAGGTCACACTTTGCTTTTTGGGTATTTTGGATTTCAATGCCTGTTGCGGGCAATTTGGGGGTTGTGAATTGTCTATAATACCCATAACATGTATTCCGAATGAGCCATCGTTTGATCCTCATTATTTTTGAAATATATTTTTTTCTTTTCTTTTCGACTATATATTTTTCAATAAAATAATATTACAAATAAATTCAAAATTTTTTCTCATTTTTTAACCAACCATTTTGTCATCAATCTACTATGTCAAAATACATTCTTAGTCAAAAATAGGGCTCAAACAGGCTCTAATGGTTAACAAGGGATTTTTTTTTTTTTTTTTTTTTTTTAATGGATTGGTGAGTTGACGAAAGTGCCCTTGGTTAATTATAAGTGAATCATTTATAAGTCAATTAAGTTAATAGCCTCTTATCATTATAATTTTAGGATCGGAGTTCGTGTATAGGCTTTGCATGCATTGTTTTAAATTGTGAGTTTTTTTGTTTTATATAAATATACACACATACATTTTCATCGTTAAATTTTGTTCACATTTAGTTATGAGTTTGTCATTTGGTGGTAAAATGAATTTGCCTTAAATTCAAATAAAGAAAATAAATAAATAATAAGATCACAGCTACTCACGATGCCTCCATAGCCTACCCACACATCCAAACTCTCAACCCACTCTCATGGCCCGTCCTTCACTCTTACTAGGGATGACAATGGAGTAAGAGCGAGGAAATTCCTTCCTGTCTCCATCTGGTCAAGTGTTAAAATATTCTCAATTTCTTCCCCGCTTTTCTATTTAGTTGTTTATTTTTAAAATGTAATTTAAATATAAGAAATGAAAAATAAAGAACAAGAGTTTGGAAAAGACAATGCAGGGTGTGGCTGGATATTTTTCCATCCCTAATTCTTGAATCTTCTTGTATTTATTTCTCATTTATATTTTACAATAAATTCTTATTTTCAACCAACTAAATAATTTATTTGAATGAAAACTAAAGCCAAGTGTAACTTGTAAAATTTGGCCTACGGTATAATATTGAGTACCGTAATTTTTCGAAGGATCTTTTGAGTCAGTCCATTCTAGTCCCACGATAGTAACAAGATTGACTCGACGAGTATTTTGCAAATAGATAAAACTTGATTGTTGTCATTGGTTGATTAGAAAAAGTTAGCCTTGAAAATTTCATTATTAAGGTGGGATCCATGGATGCATTAAACTTGTTAGATGTAGGTCATACTAATAGGCAGCCATTTATGAATAGAAGTAAATTGTGACACATTCTGTTAGGTTTCCAACCTACCCTAATAAATGGAGTCAAATTTTTTACAATTGATCATTAGAAAATACACTTATACGCGGGTGAGGACCCAGGCCTGCACCAAAGTCCACTAAGTCTTTTAGTTAGAAATATATATTTTAATGAAAAAAAAAAAGTTTCTATGTATCAGCCCATAAATTTATTTATTTGTTTTTTCTTCTTTTAGTCCGTTGGCTCCGCCATTGAGTAGTTATATGATGACAATACTCAGATTGATTCTCTCATTCTCGTACCTAAAAGGATGGGCAAGTTTGGTTTGGCTCCAAGGACGGACCCAGACACTTTGGGTTAGAGGATCATAATTAAACTTTCAAACAATAGGTAAACTGTAAATGGTGATGGCAGTCCGCAATCAATAGATTAGGAGAGAGAGAGAGAGAGAGAGAGAGAGAGAGAGAGAGAGATGCACAAAGTTGAGTTTGGAGCTGTCGATTGCATTATATATTTACAGTGTAGGTTTTAAATTTTGACAGTCTAAAAAAAGGGTAAAAAAAAATTTTCCCCCCAAAATTGGGGGGTCAATTGACCCTATATGACCCCCTTAGGTCTGCCCCCATTTGGCTCTTCATCAATTAGATGAAACTATATGCTCCAAGGTCAGGAGGCGATATGTAGCGTAATCTAATAACTACATCTAGTTTGAGTATAAAGAACCAAAGATTCGAATCCTGTCATCTTGATTGGAGGCTAAGTAAGCAAAAACCTTTTTATGAACATACGCCGACCATTGCCATCTACTTCTATCTCGTATATATTAAGCACACTCTGTGAAACCTATAGCTAAATACCCTAAACTGATTAACGGTAATTGAAAATGTTATTATCATCATACCAGTTGATTTTACTTCGTTGAAAATCAGTTTGGTTTCATGCCGTATAAATGTTTTTGGTCATTCGTTCACCTCGGTTTGATTCTTTAATCTTGACTTGTTACCTTTTTAATATGAATGCAAGGCCGACTTTTAAATATAGGTAAAAACAAGTGTCTTGAAATTTTTTATGAGGATTATAATTAAAAATGTAGCAATCAGTTACAGGTTCTATCTCGTATATATTAAGCACACTCTGTGAAACCTATAGCTAAATACCCTAAACTGATTAACGGTAATTGAAAATGTTATTGAGTTTGGTTTCATGCCGTATAAATGTTTTTGGTCATTCGTTCACCTCGGTTTGATTCTTTGATCTTAACTTATTACCTTTTTAATATGAATGCAAGGCCGACTTTTAAATATAGGTAAAAACAAGTGTCTTGAAATTTTTTATGAGGATTATAATTAAAAATGTAGCAATCAATTACAGTTAAATGTAATTCTCATTAAATTATCTTGAAATTATAGCTGTCTCATCTTTTATTAATCATTATCTAATGTGTTCATTAATAAATTAATTAGAGAAGGATAGTTAGATTAATATATAAATATATAGAAGATTTCTGATATCATTTTGGTCAGTGCTTATCATATAACTTTAATGGCCAATGAATTTAATATGATTTTTTAAGACAGATATATTATTATTTGTTGAGTGCATCATAAGATAAATCTTTAGACAGTGGATATTTTTTTCATTTAACATTGAAAACTTTTATTTATAACTTAATAATAGGACTTATTAATTAAGATAAATTATTGTTTGATTATTGACTTTTTCCCCTATATATATATACATAGCTGATTTATCTTGTGTGGCCCCAATGTCACATGCATTAACGTGGGATGTCTAGCTTTCTTAAGGTTAAGGAATTTCTCTCTGTATGTTATTTAATTTAATGGGATTATTTCTCTTTTCAAAGAAATATCATTAAAAATTTCGAAGGAAAATTGCAATATGAATATACGTTTAGTATAACTTAGTAAAGATTATTAGAGACACTAGGAGGTAATTCGTCCCAATGTGTCATGGATAAATGAATCTATCCTCGACTAAAAATTAAGAACAGTGCATTAATTGGATTTGCAATATTCTTTTTCATTTCGATTAACCTGCAATCATATTGTGATGCTGGATAGGATAGCGATTATCCTATAGGATAGTTGCAACAGACGATTTGTAAGAGAGAAAAAGAAGGAAACGCAAAAACAGATAGAATTCTTTGAAAACTTCACTCAATAATATTAATAATCAAGAATGACGAAAACTAACCACAAGTTAGGTTAAATAGTTGCAAAAATACAAAATTATCGAAAATGATCAAAAATAGCAAAATCCTAACGATCACACCAAAATAAAATATGAAATAAAAGAAGTAAGTTGCTAAAAATTTGGCTCAATCCGGATTCTCTAACGTCTAGAAAAAGGGAAACGAAATATTACTATAAATAGTAAAAAATAACTAAAAATTGAATTTCAAAAAGGAAAACAGTAGATTTTGGGCTCAAAATTGACGCCCACAGAGTATAACTGGGTGACCACGACGTGCGCGTCAAAAAGAGCTTTTTAAATTGGGGTCATAATAGCGATTCTGATAACCATAGTCAAAGTTATGGTCAAATTATCAAAAATGTGTCAAACATATCCAAATTAAGGAAAGATTGCATTTATTTTCCATCTTTGCGCCTATCCGCTATCTCGTGGTATCTCAGCGCTATCTGACAGATCAGCGTCACTCGACTCGGATCCTCCTGCATCATATTGTCACATTTGCGAAGTAAAAAATTTATGTTCTTTATCTTTTTATTTTCCTCTTTAAAATATTAAACCTTATGCTACATATTAGCTTTAAAACAGGACGATTAAATTTATTTTTGCTATTTAGAATCACTTGGTTTTTAATGATGTTTTATTTATTTTTATTTTTCATGCTAGTAAATAGTAACACATAACACTATAATCTTATTGTATTGCTTGAAATGCAACTAAAGTTGGTATTTCATACGGCCCCAGGTTTGGATTTTTCATTTTTCATTTTTTAATTTCCTTGTCAAAATATTGAATAAATTTTGTTTTTATTTTTGAAAAAAAAAAGTTATTGTCGACAAAATATTACTGAGATCACTTTATGCAAAAGAGAAAATGAAACTAATTTTCAATATAATCTAAAAAATTTTGACAGTCTAAAAAAAGGGTAAAAAAAAATTTTCCCCCCAAAATTGGGGGGTCAATTGACCCTATATGACCCCCTTAGGTCTGCCCCCATTTGGCTCTTCATCAATTAGATGAAACTATATGCTCCAAGGTCAGGAGGCGATATGTAGCGTAATCTAATAACTACATCTAGTTTGAGTATAAAGAACCAAAGATTCGAATCCTGTCATCTTGATTGGAGGCTAAGTAAGCAAAAACCTTTTTATGAACATACGCCGACCATTGCCATCTACTTCTATCTCGTATATATTAAGCACACTCTGTGAAACCTATAGCTAAATACCCTAAACTGATTAACGGTAATTGAAAATGTTATTATCATCATACCAGTTGATTTTACTTCGTTGAAAATCAGTTTGGTTTCATGCCGTATAAATGTTTTTGGTCATTCGTTCACCTCGGTTTGATTCTTTAATCTTGACTTGTTACCTTTTTAATATGAATGCAAGGCCGACTTTTAAATATAGGTAAAAACAAGTGTCTTGAAATTTTTTATG